CGATCACGTATTATGGTCGAACCATAACCCAGAATTCGGGGTGTTACATTTCCTCCACCCTTATAAAAATTTCGTCCTCGAAATTTGCTCGAAACTCATTCCTCTGTCAACACCATCCTTGTACGTCCTTGCCTCAAGAATTTTATTCTTGCTATTTAAACTTCAATGGCGTGCCCTTAACTTGCCTCGTATAGTTGATTGTACTTCTTATATTTTCTCTTAACCAGAACAGGTATCCTCACATAGCTTTTTAGCACCATAAAACTTTAAGTGACTCATTGGCCTTTTCAAAATTTTCCAACTTGGGCCCAGTACTTGATGTTGAAACTATTGAAGTCGAGGTATCACATTTCCTCCCCATTCCTTAAGAAAAATTTCGACCTCGAAATTTGTTCGTTGTGATGACCTCAAGTCTAACTTGTGATAATCTATTTACAAAGAAGTGTACCTCCCTTAACTTGTGCGACACTAAGCTATACATCCTTCCCCCCGATATGATGTGATTTTAGCAGATTGGTAGTTCAACCATTTCTCATAGACAACTTGCCTAGCTAGCTATTAGCTCGATACAACTATGAAATCCCACCCATATACAATTTCGATGTTGTGGTGCTTTACTCAAAACATCTTGTGATCACCGCGGTTTCTCAAGATCCCCTCTTACAATTTCTTAAGCAACATCGTCAAATAATTCACCAGTATCTTGACCTATACTGTTCTCCTTTTCACGATTGTTGATGCACACCTTCGAACTCCATGATGTAAACATTCATGGTGAGTGTTCGACTTGCTCGGTAATGCCCTGTTGTCTGATGCTTCTTACCCCCTTCACATCGATCATTTACTTCGAACGTGTTTAGGGCATCCACTATCTCCATCATTTGGTACATAAGAAGGTAATACCACTTCGAACCCCAAAATTACTTATGGCAGCGTGATCTCCTTTTGTTCGAGCGCAAAACTCTTTTAACGTAACCCCGTCCGTGGTTGGCCACATTGGTCACCTAGGCCTTGTATCTCTTACTTCCTTCCTCGATACTCATCTTATCCTTTGATCATAAACAGAAAGGTCATCTCCTCGTTACTTCTTTCTTAACGCCGAGGCCTCATACTACTGCTTTTACTTTCTGTATGCATTAGAGGCATCCATTGCATCGCACCCCTAACTTGCATTCAAATTAGTGTTTCTTTCAAGAATCATGGCATTCTCCTTGGCTTGCTTGTTCACCACTGGCCACCTAAATAAATACTCCCTTATTGTCGCTAGAATTTGCAGTTCTCGTACTATCCATTCCACTACTCTTAGACCCTAGCAGAAATTCCTCATACGGTTCTCCCGTCCAAAAAACAAGTTTTACCTGCGAGATTGACACCTTTCACCAACATAGGCGATCTTGGTTTCACTTTGTGGTATTCTAGCAGGTTCTCTAAAATTACAGCCCTCTTACTTCGTTACGCGTGACTCTTCTTCTTGATATTCCTTTCTCTATTTAGGTGTCCCTTGTTCGCGACATAGTCCTCTAGGTTTGTATATCTTTTTCTCACTTATAAGGTTTACCCTTCGACTATTCTTGATGACCTTGATTCCACCTTAAAATTGGTCTATACTCGGTTGTCTTAATGACTTACTCTATAGCTAGTTCCGAGACTCCAACTCTTAGCCCTCTAGTTCCAACTTAGTATAGAGGTTCCTCCTTATGTCACCGCTCCTGTACCCTAGGCGGCTCGGTGCTCCCTCCATTTAGGAGAGGACAATCCCATAACAGATCATCGTGAACTCTTGCATTCCTCTTTCAACGGTCCCAACGACCTCCGGACCTTTCCTGATTTGGGTAGTTGGTAGAGTCTCCCATATCCCAAACCATCCTGTTTCTATCTCAACATTGTTCACTAGCACATTGTTATTTTTGCTCCAAGCTCTTCCTCCACCTCGATCATCTTGACTCTTGTCTTGTTTCTTTCAAAAGCTTGCTACCAGCCTAATTCCCCAGGGTCATGTACCCTCTTCTAGATGACGTACTTTACCTACAAGGGTTCCTTCATCGTCATATGTAAACGACCATGCCTCCTCTCCTCCTCCACTATTGACTTTTTGACGTCCCTTCAGATCCCCTCTAACCTGCTTACTTCCTTCTTTACTTCATTTATACTACCCTAGCTTCTCTTGAAGTCTAAGCTTTTCACTGCTCCTTGCCACTATGTTGTAATAGCGTTGATCACTAAAACTAGTTGAGGGACTTCTCGTGGTACCTCTTCGTTTCTTGGCTCGTTGCTTCCTCGCCACTGCTTAGGGTCAAGGACCCTGAAATCCTCCCATCATTATAGCTACTGACATCTAGTGACTGTAGCTCTTTCTTCGGAGACTCATAGTTCTCCTCTTTGTATATCTTAACCTATGAGATCACTTGCTAGTGGCTACATAGAAAAAAAAATCCTCGTAGTGCTCCTTCAACTTCGTTTGATTCCTCATATCTAGACCTTAGGATAGAACTTTGCGATTGGCGCACCATTTTATTAGGACTAAAGTTATTTATCATAATACGATTAGAGTAGACTAGAGATTCTATAGACTCTTAAAAGAAGACCCTTGACTCATTTTCCTTTCCTTTAAAACAAAACCTTTAAAAACTGATACCGACATTCCAGTATTCCCTGGAAACCAAGGAACAGAGGAAGACCGACTCTGATATCAAAATGAAACACCCTAACCCGGCTGGTTACTAATTTTACCAAAATGCCCTTTATGACTCATAACCAAAATAAGAAACGAAAGACTTGCAAAAGAAAAAAAAATGGAAGCCTTCCATAAATAACCATAACAAATACTGAAATGAACTGAAATCTCTTAAAACAAAACCCTAACACTTAGGCAAACCTCAACCATAGAATCTTAATCTGAATCTTCAGTCACTACTCATAATCGTAAATCAATAACTAAAACTCTACTTCATTGTCTGCTCGGATTCGATTTCTGGCATCTCCAGTGACGCTTGTACTATCCTCCTCTAGTTGGCTTGCGTCGAACAGCTTTCTCGATCTCGCTGCTCACTAACTGCTCCTATAGCTGCAACTATCGATCTAGTTCTTGCTTATTCCTTTACTAAGTCCTGGTGAGTGAGATGGGGTCAGTCTACGCCCTTACGATTTAAATCTCTAATATTTCTTACTTAAGAGCTTAACTTAAATTGGTGGATGGCACTACCACCCTCTAAGATTTTACTCTTAAAACTCAAATCTCAAATTAAAAATTTGACTGACACTGGGATCCCTCACTAGCTAGTCCGGTTGCCAACTCATACGTATGAGAAGCCATTCAGGTTTTCCTTAAACTTAAACTTAGGGAAGTCGTAACGATTCATCCTCCTAACATCTTAAACTTACCGTGATGGCTCTTCACCACGATTCTCAAGGGCATAACTGCTGCCAATCTTAAAAGTCTCAAGAGCATAACTGCTGGTCTATCTCAAAATGTCTCAAAAGGCAACGGACTAGTGCTAGTTACTAAAAACACTTAAAACGATTTCACCTCCTTGAAGGTGAGTTACTTCTTAAAAAGAAATTGTTTCCTTAACTTTAACAATAACTTATAAACTTAAAGCTTTAATTCAAATAATAGCTCATGCACATTCACATCAAATATAGCTCAAACAAAATCGAATATCATCAACCATAAGCACAATCAAACAACGACAATCACTTCACCAAATCGATCGATCTAACTCAAAGGGATCGAGTTCCCTTACCTCTAGAACGTGCCTAAGCTAGGTTGGACGACCCGGGACAAGTTAACGGTTAATTTTCATTTTTAGTTCTAAGACGATTTTAGCAATTATATGGCCATATTTAGTAAGCTAGTTATTGAAATACTCCCCACTTCGGAAGAACGGTTAACACTTAACAAGTTAACGGTTAACAAACCGTCAAGTCTAAGAGTGGAAATTGGTGTGGGTTGGATTACCTGTCCCAAAGTTTGTAGTTAGTAACATCCAAAAATTATGATTTTACCAACCACAAACTACACCGTAGTGGTTATTGGGTAACCACTACCTACTGCGGTTTAGTGCTGGTTGGTTACCCATTAAAATTTATCTTTGTAGGCGTGGAGGTTTGGCCTCATCAATGAATATGCTATTTAAGATTAGACTATGATGATACATTGTCAATTTGTCGTGTTATTCATGAACATGAAATTTTGTATATCTTATTGAGCATGAGGGGTTTTGCCGTTTCGAATTTATTATTCGACTTTTGTGACGAAGAGAAGAAAGGGACAAAAGTTTTTGCTTTACAAAATGCAAATTAATCTCATAGGGCACATGCTATAATTTTCATTTTGAAAACAATCTATTTTTGTCTTTTAGGAAATTAGTTGCTATTCTTTATATGGTGAAATATTATTAATAAGTATGGTGGACTTAGAAATAAATCAAAAGTTTGTTAAACTAATATAATTATAATGATTTTCTAGGTTAACCGTTGTTGTTAGTGACTAATCACTAAATTCAAATAGTGCTAACCACACTCAAACAACTACATATTAATTCTTAGTATAGTTACCCACAATTTGTACATAATGATATGGTTTGCAGGTTATCTACAAAGCACACACCAAACTTCCACACATAGTACTCCTCTTGAGGAATGAACAGTTGTCAAAGCAAGAGCTAGCTCAACTAGGGGTGGACATCCGGTTGGGTAAACACGATCCGAATCGGACCAAATTGATCCAATACCGAACCAAAATCGAACATTACTATTTGGTTCAAAATTCAGAACCAAAATATGGGTATTTCGAAAACCACGGTTGTCATTACCGAACCCGAACTCCGAAACCTGAACCGAGAACCCGAAATATGATTCCCAATCCACCTGTACAAAATCCCTTACTCTCCCAGCCCAGTTCCCACAGCCTAGCCCACTACCTAAACGGCTTAGTCGTCTCCCCAAGCCAACTTCCCAGTTCCCCCACAACCCAGTCCGAAATAATTAACCCCACAGCCCTATCCAGTAGCCAGCGGCGAGAAGAAATAAAGATTAAGGAGAATAGTCGCAATCAGCCCTCCCCCACCACCATCGGCCAACCATCTCGGATTCCTTCTTCGACGCCCGGTGGTGGCGAAGTTTAAGATGTAAATCGGCAATGGAGGAGAAGCCGACGTAGGCACGACCACAAAATGAGTGCTCAGCGGGGAAGAGGTGCTCGTCAGGGAAGATCCACTCCTCGATCTAGTCCTCAGATCTTGCCACGACATCTTTTGGACTAGACCTTCTTGCTGCTCTGCTTCATGGAAGGTGGATTTGCGGAAAGAGCAGGGGGTGAAATAAGTAGAAGAGATTTGAGTGAGATGGAGTGGTTCGGCAATTGACGAGTAGAGGAAGCATGTTTGTTGGGTAGATGGTGGAAGCTGTGAGGAGAAATGAGGAGGAGAGAGTAAAGAAAAGTGGAACACTAGGGGAAGGATCAGAAAATTTAGATTTTGTCGGAATTTTGAACAGAACTGAAATATAACTCGGTCTGCCACACCGAATCGAATTATATTTTGGTTCGAAATTGGTTTTGTGTGCAGAGAGATTGGAGGACCATGTATGCTTATTAACTAAACCAATGCCCACCCTATGTAGCTATGCTCAACAATCTCCACATTCTCCCTGCTTTCTCTCTCTCGTCCCCTCTATATGTCTAATGTCTATTAAGTTTAAGACGTAGATGGGCGATGGAGGAGAAGCCGACGAAGGCACGACCAAAAAATGAGTGCTCGTCATTGAAGAGGTGCTCGTCAGCGGAGATCCACTCCTGTATCTAGTCCTCATATCTTGGCACGACATCTTCTGGACCTTCTTGCTGCTCAGCTTCATGGAAGGTGGATTTGACAAAATAGTAGAGGGTGGAAGAAGTAGAAGAGATTTCAGGGACATGGAGTGGTTTGGCAATTGACGGGTAGAGGAAGCATGTTTGTTGGGTAGAGTGTGGAAGCTGTGAGGAGAAATGAGGAGGAGAGAGTAAAGAAAAGAGGAACACCAGGGGAAGGATTAGAAAGTTTGGGTTTTGTCGGAATTCTGATCCGAACTAAAATATAACTCGGTCTGCCAAACCAAATCGAATTATATTTAGATTCGAAATCCATTTTGTGTGCAGAGAGATCGGAGGACCATGTATTCTTATTAACTAAACTGATGCTCACTCAATGCAGCTATGCTGAACAATCTCCACATCCGCCCTGCTTTCTATCTCTCTTGCCCCCTTTATATGTTTAATGTGTAATGACTATTATCCCCTTGACCTTCCCCACAACATTTATCTCTCCTTCTCCCTCTCGACCGTCCTGAACTAATTGATGCTCTTTGAATCTTAGCTTCGATTTGCTATATTCTTCTATTGCTCTTTGGTTGGCGTCCTCCTGATCCAGACCCGAATTTAGCATTACCTTCCCCAACAAAGTAATGGGTTCAGAACCTTCCATCGTCCTCGGTAAGTGACGCTCGAGTAATTTGGACTCCCTTTACCCAATACCCTAGTCTATTCACTTTCTCTTTCCTTCTCTTCTTTGCTTCTCTTTCTGTAGTTTCATAGACTTGGTTTTCATTTCAATTCATTTTAGGCTATTGGTAGTCATCTTTTGGCTGCACATCTCTATTTTGTCTAGATGCTTCATGTCTTATGCTGCTGAACTTGTATTTTAGGCAAGTAATGACCGATTGGCTTGTGTTTGTAAATGGTTGTGATTGGAGATTGAGGCTTGCGAAAGATGTTATTCCCTATTGTTACTTTGTAGTGAGTTAAGGGAAAGCCTATGAGAGGAAGTGTAGTTCCCCAGCTTATGGAGGCAATGAATCCAGACAGATCATTGGGTATCCCTGAGGAGGAAGCTTTGTGATGAGCTAGCTCATCATCCATTCTTTATTAATTTTTCGTTTGCTTACTTGGAGCTGCAGCAACAACTTCGACCTCTAATCCTTTTTTGTATGTTTGCTTTTTGGTTCTCATTCAAGCTCACCCAACACCTTATCATGCGGTAGTGTCTATATAGCACGGGTGCAAATTTTTTAGTGTAAACTTATTTTGGGAGCCAAGTGTTAACTCTTAACGCTGAACTATATGATGGGTTCTGTTGAAGTTGTGCGAGAGTCTGATACTTCTCTGATCTTAGTTCTCTGGGTTAATGTCATCTTCAAGTGGCCAAGCGTGTGCATGTAATTGCTATGATTAGTTTGGTTAGATGAAGGTTTTGGTGATTGGATCTGTCTCTCTGCTCCTGCTATGATGGCAGCAATATTTATCCTTTTGGTGGTGATCATATTGTCATCAACGCAATTGGACGATTCGTAGGACGAGATCATGCAGATTTGCTGATAAACAGACATGCTTTTCATTGAACTTGTAATAATTTGTTGTTTTGCTGCACCGTCGAGGAATTTCAGACTCCTAGAAGAGATGGAAAGGAGTGAAAGGGGATTGGCGATGGAACTGTTAGCTATGGAATGGACGATGCTGATGATATATTGATGCAGTCTTAGACTCGAACCATTATCGGTCCTTCCAAAGTTTGTATGTTTTTTGTGCAGTAACTGTTAGATGGGTTTCTTTATGGGTTTATCTTGTGGTGGTACAACTGCCCTTCCGTTTTCTTCTGCTTGACAGACTATTCATGTGGGGGGATCGACCAGTTGAAGTTGTTTTGTGGCACGGAATATCCAGATTACCCACCCAGCGTAAAGTTCCAAACCCAGTTAAACATGGCTTGTGTCAATCTTGAAACTGGCATTGTAAGTGATTTTTGTGTGATTGTTCTTTGTGTTGGTTGCAATGGGTTTCAACTTCGTTTCCCCCCATAAACATGCTAATGACCAGTATTGTATCGCCAGGTTGAACCACGACTTTTCCCAATGCTTGCTAATTAGAATATAGACTATTGGTGCAGTTGAAGAAGGAAATGATGTCACCACAGAACAGAAAACTCGCTCAGCCTCCGGAAGGTATGCAACTCCTTCACTCAGGCATGGTTTAAGGATTTACTAAAGCTAAATTGTGGAGAAGTTTAGAAGCAAGGGAGTAACCGATTTAAGACACATAACTTCCAACCAATGGCCAACAACCCTATACCCCAAAATTGATTAAAACAAATTGCGACCTTTTCCATCTTACGGGGCTAGGGCTGGGTGCTCAGTTCTTGCTCAGTTTTCTTAGCAGGTGGTATTGATGTAGTATGTGACGAGATTCCCGGAGGAAGAGTAAGAGTAAGAGTAAGAGTAAGAGTAAGAGAGATTAGTCGGTGAAGCGATTTTCAGTCGCTATTCACGGTTGCCTTCGACGATTTGGTTAAAAAAGGATCAGTATCTGATGCCTGGTATAAGGTTTCTCCTATGAAGCGATCTCCCGTTGAAATTCATGGTTGACGCCGACGAATTGGGTCTGGAAGGATAAGACTCTAGCGGCCGGGAATGCTCACCATCGGCGGAGAAGCAAAAAGATTAAAATTTTCTGACACTTGTTCTGATTAAGATTCAACTTCTCTGTTCCCCATTATTTTCTGGTCTTTTGATTACTAGAGGTTTATTTGACTGAACAAGATCATCAGATGGGAAGGATTGAGCATCAATTAAGTTAGAATGTTAGATAGCTCTCTCATCTCTCTTTACTGGTGTTTGCGAGTTAACTATGATCAACAGACAATGGACTGATAACATTGCTATTTTCAAAGCCCATTTTTAAAATGCTGACCCAATTATTAAACTATCATGATAATGTAACTCGCATGCCAACTCTGTTATTTTTTTTTTTTTTGCATTACTGGAGGTAAAAGCCAAGAAGCAGAAGAGTTACATGGGAGGACGAGTGAGAGAAGAGTTACGTTGACGAGGGACAATCCGTCTGTCGAAATACACTCCCCGGATATAGTCCTGTAGAATGGAAACTACCCCTAATGGTGGATGTGAAGCTCATGTAATCCATAGGGATAGACGTGACTGTACTTCGAGAGCCAGTCTGCGACTCTATTCCCTTCTTGGTATACATGAACAATGCGCACTAGCCAGTCACGGCTAACTCTCCTGCGAATAGAAGCTAAGAAGGTGGAATAAGGATGAACTAGATCATGTTTTTCATTAAATAACTGTATGGCGAGCTGTGAGTTAAACTCGAGTATGAGGTGGTGACGTCCGAATCTCCAAGATATATCCAAGCCATGATAAAAGGCCCATAACTCCGCCAAAACCGCGGAGGCTTCACAATTCTTTGCCATAAACCGATGATCCAATGGCTAGCTTCATCTCTCAAGATACCTCACGCACCAGAAAGTCTCGGGTTCCTGTTAGAGGCTCCATCAATGTTGAGCTTCATCCATCCTACAGTAGGTGGAGTCCATGATAGTTGCCACTATCAGAGGCGTCGACGCCTTCCTCCCACTCGGGAACAAAAGGGGGCTCGCCAAACTTCGCTCGAAAACTTAATCTTGGAAACAATGGAGTGGGCTAAGGAAGGTGGAGTGAGAGTGGATGAGATCCCTTTGAATCGCATATTGTTCCTATTTTCCATAAATCCAAGCGGCGATGCTGAAAAGGGTCACCCACTCGACCCCCAAGTGCTCACTAACATCCGCTTCAAGATTGATCCATAGCCAATCTGCAGCGGTACCCATGAAAAACCTTTGTTTCCTATCATTAGGGACATGCTTCATTCAGAAGTACGTAACCGGAGGACAATCTCTGAGTATGTGGAGGATAGATTCCGCTTGTCCATTACAACGAATACAGTTAGAGGAGGAGGCTATCTTCCTGGAAAAGCGAAGAGCATTAGTCACAATTTTTCCAAGGCAAGCTAGCCACATAAAGAATCGTATTCATTCAAGGACTAGGGGACTCCAAATAATCTTCTAGATTTTGGCATCGCGATCGTGCTCAGGTGGCAGAAGAGATTGGTAAGAAGTCTTCATGGAGAACTTTCCGTTTGAAGACAACGACCAAAATAGACTAGCTTTCTCGCAGTATATCTTATCCACCGTCACACCAATAATCCTTTGTTTAATCTCCTGGGAAAGAATGTCCTTGAACATGTCAATTCGACACACTCCCTCGTCTGTGATCAAATCCGCCACGATCTCGTTCGTCCGCGAGCTTGGAATCTCCTCCACCACCAAGTTATTCAGAGGTTCCTGCACAATCCAGGAATCTTACCAAAACTTAGTAGTATTTCCATTCTTTATATTCCACACACAACCTTCCTTTAACAGAGAGGAAGCTTTGGTAATCCTTTTCC